GAATGTTAAAAATTAGTTATATAGTATTATTCGTTTTTACAGGAACAGGCACAAATGCCTCGTACATGGAAGATACGGAAGCGATCATTCATGGACTAAAGAACGCCACTGAGCCTTATCATCACAAGCAGGTAAAAGGACCCTATCCTACTATATATAATTCGCTAAGCATGTCTGTGTGTGTGCGTCTGTTTGTCACGAAATTCATTGTGCGCTTCGCTGCGGCCATGGAGCGCTGTATTTTTAGTATGATGTAGGGGCCAGGACAAGAACATATTTGATGGGGGTCGGAAAGTGATAACGGCTGATAAGGGCTGATAAGAGGCATTTGGCAACGCAAATTTCACGAAATTCATGGTGCATGTTCCAGCAACAGTGGGGCGTTGGTTCTGATAAGTGATTAAGAGGGTGGAATGGGAACATATTCCGTGAGAAACACAATATTATAACGGCTGATAAGGACGGATAACAACGATATGCGTAAGAACATAGAGAAAACAACAAAAGCAGATCTAAATAACGCAATTCATTCCACATTTCGTAAGTTGTCGCCCTCAGCCCAAATTAGCGTTCGACCGTTACTCTCCTCAAAGCCCCAAAAATTGTACGGTGGATCTTTGAAGAAACGTGATAATCTATCATGAGTATTTTCAATTCAGTATCATTAGCATCAAACATTATTCGACCGCCAAATTTCTCTGCATTTGATGCATCGTGGTTGCTTACAGACACCACCTTAGCTTCGTACTCCACGGCGCGTATCGAGAGTCAGCTAACTCATTTCACGAATCTACTTATCTTTTACCGGTGAAACACCCTTCACCGACTGTGCAGCTTCACCGACGCCATCGATGTCATGCGCGCGGTAGCGTCCGGAGCTAAACTGGTAAAGGATAAAGCATTTGCCGTAGATCAATCCATTTCTGGGACGCGGCACGAATTCTACTTCCATTTGTACCTTCGTGATGACAACTGAATGCGATTTGGACAATGATTTGCCGGGACCAGCTGATGTACACGTCGGTGTTTTTTATCCTCCCAGACAAGTCTAGTACCAGATAACCGATCTCGAAGATGGAAGAGCTCGTTGGCGCCGGCGTCTCAACGACCCAGGATTTGATTCCTGGACCGCTCCCATTTCGTGCTTTTTTTCACATCTCTGAGAATTCTAATTATTCAGATGATTATCGACACCGAATGGGAGGCTTCGGTGACAGAGGTGAAGCTGAGTATATACGCACGCAATACGACAAAATTGTCGATAATCGATCCGATCATCCTGGTAACTATTGGTAAGTTGAGATTCTCTATCGTTGATGAAACGTATTTTGCCCACGAATAGTTCAATTTTCAGTTTCGACAAATTAATTGCCGGTAAATGTATGGGAGAAGTGGTGCGACTTGTACTCGAGAAACTCTGCACGCTTAAAGTTAGTCTGTTACACATGAGTTTGGGTTTCAATCTGACTAGTAGCTACCTTTGAGAATTTCTTTTCGACTTGAGGTGCTCTTCAATGGGGATGGCTCGGATCTCCTGCACACTGTCGGTTCGTTTCCCACGAAATACATCTCCGAAATTTTACGGTGAGTTCCGTTAGAACTATTCAGTTCAATCACCTCTCTGTTATATCACATTTGAGTTGATGAAGGTACAGTAATGGAATGGAGAAAAAGATGAGGAAACAAAAGCATATTTGGGGAATTGAAAAGATCAAAGGCACGAACCTGGACTAGACCACTGGGGTAATCCGGCCGGTATATGGCAAGCTGTCTGCAAAGATTACCGATGCGCAATTCGCACAGCAGGCATGTGGGTGACAAAAGAAGGGTTCTAGTCAGTGCTTCCGATTAGTGGCCATGAGCAGTACGCCTGTAGCCCAGCACGCAGCGGCCATGTTTCTGTGCCCTCTCGTACGGCGTGGTTCTTCGCGTACTCTTGGCACGCTCTTTCTCTTCGCCATACCACGGCCCATCCAACAGAAACTCGTAATTTATTCACTTTCTCGGTTTCTTGGGTTTTCGTTCACTTGCAGTGCACCCCACTCCTCCACCTTCGCTGTTGAGAAATCTCACACACCAGCTTCATCCTGAGGCGTATCTTTGAGATGAAATGGAAGTGTTTGGAGAAAAGGTTGCTTCAATTTTTTGTGCCAATGTGGTGAACAGCGCGGAAGGCGCCAATAGTGACAGTATACAATGCTTACGCATGATTTAGTGTGAGTCAGAGGTGCCTCGTCAAGCAAACGTCGCTCTCCCCCACGTGCCAGAATCTCATATTGGCGCTTTTCGCACTTCCTGCGGCGTCCGCACCGTTCGTGATGTCTGCATGTCCCGTACCTGCGGAAAGTTTAAAAGCAACCAAGCACCTGTCGACACACCTATTCAGACTTCGGGTTGTGAACTGTACGAGGTTTTGGACGTGGGAGCTAAATTTGCTTAATAGCTTTATCGTCTACCAGAACATCGGTTTTTTCTTTAACCGCCTATCAAGTCTTCGATTTTTCTGAAGCGAAGAGCAATGACAAAAAAAATATCCGTCATTCTATGACTACATCCAACATCGCTACAGAGATGACTGGGGGACGTACTCGAATACGAAACAAATCATTGAAGAATTGGGCATCGAGGATTACAGCTTTTCCGACCTTTTGGTTTTTCGTGAAGTTTGTTTGGTCGTCTCGCGACGAAGTGCAAATCTAGTTGCAGCAGGTAAGTCGTGCATGTTCGTCTATCGACACATCCGTACTTCACTGACTTTGGCATGAACAGCAAGCTGGCGGAGCGGGCGTTTTGGATACGTCATTGACGGTATGGAACCCTCAGCGGCACGCGGGGTTAATGGGCTGTGGCTTTTTCAGCGTGGAGCGGGTCACAGAATCGCCCGAGAGTGGCGCCGTGCGCGGACGATACATCCGTACCACCCGTACCCATGCGGCATCGCTACGCGACTCCTTTCCGATTGGCGAGGCAATTTGAATTTGATGATTTGAGCCCAGCATAATCTATATGAACGCGGATATCGAAGCGAATTTGGAGCGTACAACCTTTATTCCTTCATGAGAGATGGGCGATCAAAGTTCTTCCAAAACTTTATCAACAGAACATTGAAAAAGCGGCAAGAAGGATTGAGAGAACTACAACTACCCGAGCATTGATTGAAACTGAGTGTCAAAGGGATGGGTCGACTTGATGTCCTTTCAAAATTCAAATTCAATGACGCTCGCAGAAAGTGGTCTAGTGTCGGAGTCGCGACTCGCGACCAGGACAGTAGCAGCGATCGACAATTTTATTGACATACACCCTCCCAGCGCCCTTCCACCGTTGACCTCGATGACGTCATCACCGCTCCGCACTGCAGTCACTGCCTTTAAGATCCGCTGTGCGCGATATCATGAAGTGCTTCTCCCACACCAGTTCACCAACGCCTATCATATTTTTAGCGATCGCTTGCGTGTTGAATCGAATACGTCGACCAAAAATGGTAGTTGCCATCGATGGCAGTACTTACAAATACCACCCATTTCGACTGTGGATCGCAGAAAAGTAAAGACGTTGTTGAACCCTTCATTGAAGGTACCGTGGTTTGCTTTATTCAAAAATGATTGTAAGTAAGAGATGCAGAGGAAAACGCGGTGCACTATTTTGATTAACTCATGGGAAACATCAAGAACAGGGTTAAAACGCCTTGGTTCTGTAACTTTATTTTTTAAATTCGGAAGTAGTTTACAGAATTTCATGCCGGATCCAAAATTTTGTGTTACAGTTCAAATTGGCCCGAGCAAGTGATGGAAGTGGTAAAGGCGCGCTGCACTGATCGCAGCGATTATTACTCGAATGAAGCGAAAAGAACGAGAAAAATCAAGAGAAGAAAGAATCAGACTGGTCAAGGAAGCAATCGAAACGAAAAAGAAACAAATAGCCGAGGAGGAGCGTCTACGCTTGAAAACTGAGGAAAACGATCACAAACAGCAGGTTCCGGAAGGTCGATCTCCGATGGTGATCGAACTCTCCTATGATGTGGATGACATTAATGGCAGAATAGCGGTTTAGTTTTAGATAGCTAATCCATTCAATCGCCTTTCCCACGTTGACCAGAGTTTGTTCGTTGTGTTAATAGCTAGTAAATTTTTTTTGCGAAAGTTCCTCGACAGATCAACACAGAAATATATTGCTGTCTTCCCCAGTTCCTCATTAAAGGAACGGGTCGGGATTAGGCGATCAAAAGAACCCGCTCTGTCGATACTATGACTGGGTCTGCAACAGTGGAGGTGATTTCACGCTTGTGACTCGAAACCGCGCAGTAATAACGCCCCAGGGCTAGCATTTTGGACGACGTGAGAGCTATGATAACTTTTGTGCATGGAGTCCACGCAGCAGTTGTCACTCCACCCACGTCCGAACTAAAGCTTAGCAATAGCACTGGAATTCCGAAGGAGGTGAAAAAGAAACCAAAAAATTTGGAAAAAAAGTGGCTTAGAATTGAAGCTTCCGCTACGCAAGGAAGCCGGTTAGCATTTGCTGACGTTTTTTTGTTTTCTTTTTTTCGGACAATAACCCACCCAGTCGACTTACGTAACATCTCCATTATTCGAAGCGATTCACGCTGGAAGGCAACCCATTTCAAATTAAGTTAGCGATGGTGAGTGGTACACTAAAGAAGGAAAAACCATGCGAAACGGCCCAGAACCTGAGAAATGGGACCACTTCCTTGCCCGTTGATTTGAGCATTGATGCGACTATCATCGCTGTGCCCTCTTCAACGCTACGCTCTCTCACCTATCTAATCACTCACCACGTATAGACCTGCGGCGAGTGATCAGATGATCGGTGGGCGTGCACTGACCAGCCGCGGCGGGATTAAACCTTAATAGGTCAACGAGGTCAACTCCTCCTGTGCAAATTGTGCTTCAGTTCGCACACTTAGGAGCTCCGCGGGTCCCTCAACCAGGTGAATTCTTCCTAATTCGATTTTCCCTCTGATCGTGAATTCGTCCTTTAATTAGCGACCACTTACTTTAGGGGAGAGCATGGTGATGTTCTGAAACGTTCGTATCTCCAATCTATTAATCAATCATTATAATGTACTCTTCTGTGGCGTTTTATTTTTGCTACTAGCTCATTGTCATCCCGTCCTCATCGCGTTCAATTTCTCCTACCAAGTAGATTATATTTTGTGCTCTAATATACGGGTAGTACATGGTAAACAAAAATGTTTATTCCGTCCCCTGCTACATAAAATAAGAGATCCAAGTATGTCTTAATAATCAATGGTTAGCTGTAATATCTTCGGTGAAATTACTGTAATATCATCGGGAAAACTACGTATGGAATGCAAATGTACTGTTGTGGTGGTTAGAAGCCGAAATATGCTTTTACATAATCGAAGAGAAAAATGACGGTTCTTCGTCAGGCTGCCTCCTCCGCCGGCTTGTATGTCCTTTAGGCTGAATAAAGGATTCGTGAAATTCACTGAATATTAGATTGGCGCAATCTGAAATTCACTTTGTCCAATTATCCCGAGAGTGGATCTGTGTTCAGATGTTTGCTACTACAATTGGGAGGGGGAGACTAGTGAAAGCCATCTTCCTGTCATTCTCACTTCACATCCTAATTGGAGACCAGGTTGGTCCCCGCAACCTGCGTCTCCAATGTAGGCTAGTGAAACTGAAAGACCGGGAATATCAGCATGAGGTACTCCATTAACCACCTCACTATTGAATGTGTTAGACCTTTCCCAGTTTCGCTGAAGTCCATCGAGAATACGCGTGATAACGTCTGGAGCTGAACTGGCATATATGTCGTCATTCGAGGTCGTGTCATCGTCCCGCTCGGCTGCTCTTCTCTCTACCTCTCCTTCCTGCGCTCATGGCTCCGAAAAAGACTTCCACCGATGTTGCGCCTTCTTGGCTTCAGCCAATATTAGAACGATGGGACGGTTACATCGAGAGGTTTGATCGTATGTTCGATCTTTTTGTGAAAATGCAAGAAGTTCAGAGTACAATTATTAGTAAACTTGAAGATCTCGAAAAGAAATTTTCAGCCGAAAAACTTTCAGCTGAAACTGTCCGAGCTGATAATCCCAGGTCGGCCCTGTACAGTACCTTAGTCAAATTCAAAGCCGATTCCAGGATTGTTGATGCTAAAGCTTGCAGGATCACCTGGGTCGGCATAGGTGAGCAGGCTACTGAAGCGGCCACCCATGCCTTTGACAAAGAGGCGATAAAAGAGGTTATCGTCTCTTCCGGTGACGATGAGCTTCTGAGTGAATTTGAAAATGGTAAAATAACCTTCCACAGGCATCCGAAAACCCGAAAAAACTCCCTAAATCCAAGACCGCGTATCATAAAAATCTATTTAGGAAATCAGCAGCTCCGTGACAGGCTTCTGGATCATATGCGTGCTGGGAGACTTTCTCTGACCAAAGAATTTCGTGCACTCATACGCAAGAACAGACTATACAAAAGAGGAGTTGGATTATGATCGCTCACTTCGCAGAAAGGCAGGAATTATGAACCGTGAAGAGGGTAAGCTTACGTATGTTGTTCGCGACCTCGCCATACACAAGTTAAGGACCCCTCGTGACCTCCCCATTAGAGGTCACGACACATACTCATCCCGGCCTTCCCAGAACTCTTCGGCAATCAATCAGAACCAAACAACTTCTGATCTAGACGTCTCCTCGGTGCCTGCCCGCTAGGAAATCGGATCAATCAATGCGTGCAATGATCAAGTTGGATCCAACATAACATATCGACCGCGTCCAAAACCCTCCTATCGATTTTTTCTGTTTAATGCGCGCTCCATCGGTAATAAAATCCCCGAATTAAACTTCCTTTTTCAACAAGTGCCCGCCGCAGTGTTTCTTACGGAGAGCTGGTGCAAACCTAACTCTATTCAAGACGCTATCCTTAGCAACGATTCCAAGTACATAGTGCACCGTTGTGATCGAGAAGGTTACAGAGCTGGCGGTGGAGTGGTGGCGCTCATTCATAAGGATGTTCCACATAGTTTCCGTTTTAGTAAAGACTTTTACGAACTTGTTCAAACGGTTGGTGTGGAAATCAATACCCACTGTGGCAGATTACTGCTGGTTCTCGCTTATCGTAGTCCTTCTTGCAACATGTCAGCTTTTTCGGAATTTATCGATTTTCTGCATGACCTTTTTAGTGGATGGGATGGTCACATCGCTCTTTTAGGTGACTTCAACTTTCCATTGATAGAATGGAACACTTATACGCATAGAGGGAGCGCCTCCTCCCCACTGTCACGCTCATTTCTATCCTTCACTAGGCAATACAACCTCACGCAGATGGTAATGTGTCCTACACATGGGCTAAACACTCTAGATCTTGTTCTAGTCTCAGAGCCCAAACACATAGAAATGCTTCGAGTCATCCCGCCCCTCGGCACATCTGATCACAATGGCGTTGAGTTTACCTTTTCTGATGCCCCACTCATATCTAAAGCACCACCTACTTTGTACAGGTGCTTCTCCAAAGGTGATTATACTGCTATAAATTCTGAACTTGCCAAAATTGATTGGGTTACACTGAGCAATATTTCTGAGAACGCAGACATGTTCTACTCTAAGTTTCTCGATATATGTTATCAATTAATAGCCAGGTATGTACCAGTAAAGCTCAACCGCGAGAAAGTCCAAAAATATCCAAAGCGGGTTTACTTTTTAAAAAGAAAAATTGAGCGCTTGCACTCGACAACGACTATGCCTGATTCAAAGTACAGGACGTACTTGAGAAGATTCAGCCGCGCCCTTCTTCGTCATCAGCTCATGCAAGAAAAGAAATTGGCCCTGTGTAAGAACACGAAGCGCTTCTTCAGGTATTGCACAAAAAAGTTAAAACTGGATTATAGCATACCAACTTTAACCTCCCCGGATGGTTTTCCAATCAGAGATGATCTTGCTAAAGCTAGCCTGTTTGCAGGCTACTTCCAATCTGTGTATAAGAGACACTGCATTTCTGATGCCTCCCTGCCTGCTCAGACTTTGGATTCCTTGGATTGGGTTGACTTATCCGCCACCACTATTTATTCCACGCTCCACAAGCTCCCTAACAGAGTATCTACCTCCCCTGACTTTATTCCCTACATCTTCCTAAAAAAAGCGGCTCTCGGTATTTCAGCTCCACTTACTGTTTTATTCAACCGAGTTCTTCTTCACGGAGATGTCCCTCACCTATGGAAGATTGGACTTGTCAAGCCAGTCTTCAAGAAAGGATGTAGAAAAAGTGTTTCCAATTATAGGCCCATATGCCTGACTAGCTCTGTAAGCAAGGTCATGGAGCGTGTGGTGTGTCGTTGCATTACCAGCTTTCTGACGAGAGGGATCTGCTCCATAATAACCAACATGGGTTCTTGCGGCGCAGGTCCACTCTGTCCGCTCTTATGTCTACAGTCCCTCGCTGGCAGCGCGAAGTTGACAAAGGAAATTTCGTTTCAGTCTGTTACATAGACTACGCGAAAGCCTTTGATTCTATTTCTATTCCCTTACTACTTGAGAAGCTGAAAGCGTACGGCATCAAGGGTCGG